CCTTCTGATAGGTATGGTTATTCAAATAGGGAGAATCCAACAACTGATGTCAATGTAGCATTACTTTCATAAGTGGGTATATGCAGAAATCAGTTTTGTCCCCGAAAAAATCTCAACTTTGGCTGGATTTAACCCGTGATCCTTGACCTGCAAGGCAAACATCTAATCCAGCAAGGCATAGCCTCCTCAAAGGCTAAGAAGAAATCATTTATGAAAAGGTTAAATCACTTTCTGTTGTTACATAGCTTTTGAAATCCACACTAATGTGATCGACGAATATATCAGACTCATTTATTTCCACTAACAAACAGCTTGTCCAGGGAACGTGCAAATACAAAAGTGGATGCCATTAAGTGTGTAAAACGTTTGATTGAGTAATTATCTTCTTATCGTGTATCTACTTCCCAAATGCTAACTTCTACAATGATGGTACTTTTAAACACTGTACATCTTTAATATCATCGGTTTGCATTTTCAACATAGTGTATGCAACCGTTAAAATATTGGTAGGCCTGAACTATAACATCATCAGCTATTAGCTGAGCATTCAGCTGAAAGGTTTTGTTCCTGCTTCTTGTGCTGTAGAACCCAGTTTAAAACTGACCAGCATGAGTCTCGGCTCCAGCTCTTCGATTAACCCTCATATTGGGAGTAGATGTACACCGAAGTACGTAGTACGCACCTTTATTTTTTACCACTGATTCAATTTTATTTTTTTGTTTCGTTAGCCATACAAACCGAATTCGGATTCAGTGTGAATATACCTTTATGCTTGTATCAGCTATATGTATCCGTTACACGTTGTGGTAGGGTTTGGTTGGCGCTGCAATGCGACTGCAGCAGATCCCTAGAGGTCTAGCCCAAGTTTCCGATTTCCAATTTGAATGAGGACAATAAAGAATTATTATCATTATTATTATTATTATTATGAATATGTCTACATATTTAAGTGTCAAAAAACATACGGATGAGAGCTTGATACTGGCAAACAGTTATAGACATTCCATCCGGAATAAGGTGTATTAAATGTGAAAGAAAAAAAGTTACAAATATTATAATGTTCATCAATGTAGCTCAGATTTGTTCTTCATTACAAATAATTTTCTTATCTGCAAATCCGCTATGTCGTTTGCTGTCAATTGACAAAGTTTTATGTTCCTGTTTGTGGCGAATTCGAATCAAAGTCTTACTTGATGATCTGCCTCCGGGATCTAATTATTCCAACAAAACACCTGTAACTCAATACATTAGGAATTATTGAAAGCTAGAGGACTTATAGGGAATAGAGAATAGTTGTGCATATTTTTGTTTCTAGATGAGTTAGTATCTGTATAATTGATCACTCATTATAAGAATATCCGGCACACTGCATACCTAATGAATATTCATATGAAGTAGAGCTGTATCTTGGCAGTTAAGATGCTTGCATTCCAATCTCAGGGTTTAGTTCATGTATAGCATTTTGTTTGTATGTTTGTCTATGAAGGATTGCCAATTATAATTTCCATATAGTGCATGAAATAAAACTATACTATTTGCTTATTCATATTTTAAACCCTTGTTAAATTGTCATCTAATATTTATGCAATTAATTTTGTTAATGATTATTCTAACTATTTACATTGGAGTTTTAATCTGATTAGGGATTTTTAATTGAAAAAAAAAAACTTATGCATCTTAACATTTCAATAAATATTGCTATCAATATTGTCAAGTAATTATCGCTTGATTTCTCCACCCAGGTTGTTTAGTTTGTGGACAAAAGTCCCTACATTAATGTCTGCTATAGTGATGGTGAAATACATGAATGAACATCAACATAACAACATGTAAGTTCAGCAATTATTAGTGTAAATAAGCAAAAAAATTACATTTATGTTTGATAATGTGTATCCCAATCTCTGAACTATTTTTTTAAAAACCATCTTAGATAAGAATATTTCTTAATGAACGTGGTTGAAATTGTCACAGTAAATCTAATTTCCAATATTTCAATTAATTCATCATAAACACCCACTCTGTCATTAACTCTACAGAGATTCACCCACTCACAAGAGAAGGAATCAGCCGAAAGCTCCGAAAATTCATTGATTCTGACATCTTGCGAAGACTCGTCAGCCAATCAGATTATCTGATACGAATTGTACTTGTTTTTTTATCAATTCGAGTCACTTACTTGTTGGCATGCTTAGTGATCAGATGTGTATGTACATTCATATATCTGTCACTTTTTCTGACCCTTCAGCCAATTAGTTGTCTATTGTCTTTGTATCCCTAATGTGATTTGTGTGTGTACATTAGTGAGTGGTTGTCGTAGCAATTTGCCGGTGAAAATGTCATTGCTGATACTTGTCATTAGCTCCATCCTTTGAAATAGTTTAATTCCTTCGAGGTCAGGCACATAGCATATGGTCATCACATCGTCTGTTGATCAACGGTGTGGAGGTGAGATTCTAAAATGCCCACACTTGTAATGTTTTTTTTCTATCATTCGTCTTGTTTTTCCATCGTCCACTGAGCGTAACAAACTGTACATCTCTGAGGTATATCATTTATAGCCTGGCTTAGTGACTCACATAGTATGTTATTGGAAGTGGACTTAATGATGTATTCTTCTTCATTTCAGTACTAAGTGAACGATTTTCTCCACTACAAGGAAAATGGTAAGTTCTAAATAATTTACTGTATCAATTATGTTATTCAAGTTTAAATTTTGTAATATTTTAATTTTATTTGTATGCATTGTATGTAGGCCAACACTTTGCAAAGTTCATGTGCCTCATCCAGACATTTAATAACATATTAACGAATGAGAAATTATGTGAATGTTATGAAAAAATAAATAAATTATGAGTTTAGTAAAAAACTAAGATTGAGTTAAAGAAATTTATTCTACTTAATTATTTTTTTCAACAAATTGTTACTGTATTTTATTATATATTTACATTTTATGTAATTTGGTTTACTTTGATGTTTTATGATTAGTATTTGATTTGATTTATTATTATTTTTACTATTTCTTTTTAATTATTATTTTTTTTGTATTTGTTTGTATTGATTTTTTTAATTGTTTATTTTTGATTGGCGATTATAGAATTCTTCATTATTGCTAATTTTAATAATTATCATTAGGCGAGACTTTTTTTATACCTTGTTTAGTGAACCCGTAACCAATAATGATGATTTCAAATAAAAATAAAATTTTATTTTTTGCCAATTAGCACACCTGCCGTTAAGAAAAAATTGAAATTAAAAAAAAAATAATAAAATATATAAGTTTACCTTTTATTTTATTGCGCCTGCTGCTGGCTTAAAATCTCTAAAAATAAGATATGTATATTTCGATCTAATTATATAAATTTATAGCATTTAAACATCCCATTATTTTCTCCTCTGTTTGGATGTTTTTGGCAAAACCAATGATTTAAAAAAATATATGTTTGCGAAACAATGATTAAAAAAAAGTCTTGCCTCATGTTCGTGACCATTATGATCATAATCATCTTCATTTCCATCTTTATCTTCGTCATCATTATCATCCTCATTAATGGTATTTTCATCATCATCTTTATTATCTGTTGGTGTGAAGTTAAGATATAAAGTTAAAATAAACAACATATGAATACATAACAATGGAATAGATTTCTGATGTAGGTTATACTACAGTAACAATTCTATCGTTTTTTATAGTAAAATGGTTTGAAACTTGCCTAATATTTTTAATGCAAAAACACTTTTATTTATTATAAAAAAATTTTGAATATTTTAATGTTTAAAAATTCTTTATATTTTGCTTATTTCTAGGCCAGCAACTCACATGATGTTTTCGAAGACATCTCTTCTCATAGGATACTCTCCGTTCCAGGTAGATTCATGTTTATTCTTTTATTCAAATACAATTCTGCTCCAAAATTACCTTAGGGAGCACGATGTGTGCGTCTAATTGATGTCTTTGACTGTGCGTACTGCTCACTGATTAGTTACTACTGTTATCATAATTGTTCCCAAGACTTAAATGATCATTAACATACTGTCAGGTTGTGGAACATTCCTTTTTGTATCAAGCATAGCACTTCAACTTAAGGTTTATTAGAAAGTGCTTCTGGCGGTAATTGAACATATAACCTTGTGGTGTCAAGGTGAGTGTCATGCCATTTGACCCCCGAAGCCTGTTGCTGTATCATAGATTCAATCAGTGTAATCATCAATCATCAAACCTCTACTAATATATTATTATCCCTCACATCATTGGCATCACAAATGTTCATATTTGTTAATATCATATCAATGTCATTATCGTCATCACCACCACCATCATAATTTAATAGCAATTATCATTATCGTCATCGGGCGAGTCGAGTAGCTGGGATGTAAGGCAAGGGGCACAACTATCTAACTACAGCCTTAACATAGTCACTGGCTGGAGTCTCCCCTTACCCAGGGTTCGGTTGGTATATCCAAGTCTTCTCTGATAAGGATATAAAATGGAAGTCCTATTGTACACATCTGGATAGTGTGCACTTTAAGAACCCATTGCATCTTTTGGAAGAGCCGGGTTACCCCAATGCTATGGGTTATTTCAGCTGCTGTGGAATGATGTGAGCATGAAGTTAGTATAAGCATCTCTTTATAGCAGCTAAGTATAATCACAGAATAAGCCCTTAGCCGATGAGAGCAAGGTAGGTGTGGTCGAGCATTGCATAAAATCTGAAAATTTGAGTTTCGAAGGCTTACTAAATTGATTTTAGGTCTACTAATATGTAGAATATACGTATAATTTTTTTTCCCGATGTACCATGGTTTTTCTTCCTGATTGGGTGGGGGGGGGGTACCTCTCCCAGACGAGGTCCCAGGTCCCCGGTCCATCCACCCTCCACTGGCACCATCCCTGTTATCATTATCATTAGCATCATTATCATTAACATCCATTATTGTAATTTTCATATTATCATTTATTTTTACTTATAGCATCAATCACTATCTTGCCTTGCTTGATTTCATATACTGTGACAAATATATGCACATGAATGCCATATGTTAATTTGAGTCTTGATCCCATATCTATCAATGTCCCATGTACTTGTTGTTCACCTGTGTAAATATTGCACTTCTTTGTTAATTAAAATTTTGGATTGCAATTTTGTGTTACTAATCTCTTCAGAAGATGTGAAGATTTGCAATTCATTACACAACATACTATGTCATTAGTATTTTTATCGTATCGGATTTTGATATGATGAATTCCTTAATAATTTTCATTTAATGTTGAATTTATGGCTTATATGCTTATGTCTATAATCATTATTTTTTAATGACTATACAAATGAAAACAAATCAAAAACTATGAATTAAAAAATAAGTCATAAGTATTTATCATGTCTTGACACAAATTATGTGGATTTTTTTTTTACCAATCAATTTCCTGATGGCAAAAATAATTGAGAACACCAAATATACATGGCAAGAGTAATTTTAAAGGCAGCGCATACAGCATGTAAAGAAGCTGTGTATATTGAAGGATCTGGCATGACAGTCCTTAAAATAAACCCTCGAACCCCTACCTCTAAATAGTAGAGTGCAAAATGTAAACAAGACAATTATGTCTTTTTACATATATTTTAAGGAGTGTCATGTCATATTGGTGGTATTAATTTATAGCTGTTGCATACATTTGATAGTTAACTATTTGTTTACAGCACCCACAACATAACAAAATTACATCATATTTAATATGATATTCATCATATCAATTGCTTAAACATTACATAAAAGAGGGTGCAATTACCACTATTAATACTAAAATATTATAAGACGTGAAAAAATATTTATTTTTTAAATACTGTATTTGAAATGTATTCTTTTGTATCATTTCATTTAATTTTCTTTGTTTCTCGGTAATTGTGTGTGTGAATTTACTGGAATGTTGTTTTGTGCTTGTAAGGTATGATGATAATTTATCTTTTTATACTTTGTTATTTAATTTTCTTTGTGCATATTATGTTCTGGTTTGCTTATTTTGTAACTGTAGGCTGATAGAATGCGTTCAATTTCATGTATATCAGCTTAAAAGTTTCAAATCCATCAAATAGCAATTTTTTTGATGGATTTTTAAACTTTTATTTTGTTTATGTGAATGCATTATATGGTTTGTGCCATTGTATTATAATTCTTATTCTAATCCTATGAGTAGAATGGAGATAAACAGATGTAATCTGAAATGTTATACTTTTTAATATTTTTTTAATCAAAAATAAAAAAAATAATTGAATCTATGAGTCAGCACTGAAGTAATTAATAATTAATCATATTCCGTAATTAATACAATTTGAGCACAATTTAAACTATTGAAAATTAGAATTTCTAACTTTAGGATTCTTACATTTTGAACCATTTGCTCAAATGTTTTATAATTGTAATATAATATTTTTTTAAAGTAATGTTCTTTAATTTGAAATGATTATTGTATATGTTCTCCAGCAGGTGTGGACAGGTTATTTGGAGGAAAACTTATTCTTTTCTTCTGCTGCAGGTTGCCACCTAGCAATGAAATTGACCACACCCGAATGTTACAGTAAGCAGGACTTGATTTCTTTTTTTAATTACAAGTGTCCAATCAATATATGACAAAGGAAAATCAAGTTTTCACTTCTGACTTTCAGAAAGTTTTTTTTTTCTATTTATAGGATGGATTGCATACTAATCCCCAATCCTACGTTCAGTCTGTGAAAATATGCCTGGATTTTTCATGGCTAAATATCTATACTCTCAAATTCCTAGGCCTATTCACGTGAAGAGCAGTAGCCGCAATGAGTGTAATTTTTCTACTAACTGTAATCTCAGGTGTTCAAATCTTGGGATTTCCCACATTGCTTATGTCCGTGGGGACAAGTTATTTTGTCTTTCTAACTCCTGATACGGTATTCATTTCATGCACGTATGTATTTTAATTAAAGAATGGATATCAAATAACCTCAGACGCAAATGGTTTTTTTTTTGTTTTTTTTTTTTGTCTATGTATAATGATTCACATGTCTGGGAAAATGTTTAGGGTGACTTGAATAGATTGCTTGTGTACAGTATCCTTATGAATACTTGTAATGATCAGGGTAGACATTTTTCTAAACCAAGAAACAAACAAAATACAAGAATAATAATATTATTATTTCAATCTTACATAGCATATTATGCTAACAAGGGCTCTACGTGATTCATTGTATTATTCAGATTCAGAATTCATTGAGAAACTTGTTTTGGGCACAATCTCCAGTCATTTATTTTATTTCAACTATTTTTTAAGTGGGTGACGCTTTCCAGCATAGCTGATATGTACGGACCTGCTTCAACAACTCAAAAAGGATACATATAAAGAGAAAATAAACAATTGTTACATAAAAATTGAGTCAAAAATTTACAGATGTATATACATTGTTTAAAAAAGATAATTTATAATACACCAAACTCTAGTAAAAAAAAATGGGATCAGACATGAAGAAGAATTCCTTATTGCTGCTAATATTCAGCCTAGTGGAATTTAAACCTACCAGGCACCCACATATTCTCCTGGGTAAAGGAAAAACCGCACGGTAATTGCCTCGTTCAGGGAAAACAAGCTAAATAAACAACAAAGAAGGATTTGACCCCTCGACTATGGTTTAGAGCCCAAAACCACAAACACTGTGCCAACAGCGACATGCAATATTCTAGCTGCAATGAGCAAGCTTCTTAGGTCTAAAGTTAGTTTTGGTTTAAACCGGTTGTCTAGATGTTGAGCGACTACTATACTCCTATGAATAAACAGTTGAAAATGAAAATCTAAATCTTGCATATGAATTACAAGATGAGTTCATGAGTAAATGAATACAGAACACCATCAATAATGATTTTTTTTTTAACTGTCTCTGTATAATTTAAGCTCATTCATTTATATGTCAGTATTTAGATTGAAAAGGGTAAAGAGAAAGAAAATCTATTTCATTTCATCTTTTTCAATTTCAATTTCTGTGATTGCGTTTTGGATATTTTTTTCTGATGTATTATATTTTGTTAAATGTGGAATTTTTTTTTCATTTATTTCTGCCTTTCTTCTGTAGAATACTAAATGTAACATAATGCTTTTTAAAAACTAAACTATAAGTGGTTAAATATAATAATGAACATTGGTGTTTCAAGGATGGTGGTGCATGTCCCCCTCCCCCTCTAATCCAGGCCATTTCTCCCAGGCTTCCCACAGGCTTGTCATGCCAAAACAAACAGCAGTGGCAAAAACATGAAAATTGACTTTTTAATATGTTTATATTCTTCACATTATAAGCAGGCTTTAAAGTAGTTAAAAGTCATTTTTTTTTTCCCAGCTTACGCCCTTCACTTTAATCATCTAGCACCCCACTTAACATTTTCCCCATAGTTCAGCCCCTGTCTCTCACCACCCACACCGCCCATGTCATTGCTCTTAAATACCCCACTGGTGTTGGAAAAAAAAAATCATTTTTAATTTGTGACTACCTTTTCTATCAGCTTAGGTGTTTTTTTTCCTATTCAAATTAACTTTAATAAAAAAAAAATCATAGTAATTATGATCAATATCAGTTTTCAAGATTCTAGTCCTTCGTAGAACATGGGTCGAATATCAGCGACGTTTAATTATACTGGTTTTTAATTACTCATCACTGTAGGCCCAGAGGGACTAAGACGGTGTTTATGTTGACACATGAAAAAATATCTATGCCTTGTCTTGGCAAGCTATAGTCTCTCAGATGTCAGATTCTGATGGCTTAGAAAGATGTATAAATTTGTTATGACATCCCTCTGGGGTATACTTTTATTAGAGCATTAATTTTTTTTTTTCGGCTGGGCACGTATTATGATAGTACTACAGTATATCTTCTTAAATATTAGCATGTAGTGTTAAACTTACACTAAAAATAAAGTCCTCAATAACTGTTCATTCAATTAAAGTGTAGCAAAGAGTGAACTGTGTGTGTATGTATTTTAATTCATGTAATATAAGAAACACCATTGTAATTTCTTGTTAAGTGCATTTTAATTTAATGATAATAAAGGTTTATCTAATCTAAATAGCTTTAAAAGCAACTATGAATGCATCATAATGTGTTGCCCTTTTACTGCTATATTTCCCACTTTGCGGAATACATAATATTGTTTTCCCAAACTAGCAGCATAATTTTCAGGCTATTTCTATAGATATTTGTAATACAAATCATTCCTCTGCTATTTGCGTTCATTGAATGTCGTTATGAATAATTTGGTACAATGAAATGTTACTTATTCTATTTTGTTTTGTAGTTTGATAACATGACCCAAGTGTCTGCCAAATCTTAATGGTTGTAGGATATCTTAAAAGATCCGTCCAGCCCATTAAAGCTACCAATTAGCCGCATATATCAAACCACCGTGTGTATAATGACATACTATTAAACATTGTGCATTGCGACTCAGATCCATCAACTTTAGGAGCACAATCTCACCGCATTAAATGTCAAACCAGCTTTGAATTGTAAATCTTTCTATTCCACATATCAACCTGTTCGTTGCAAGTGATTTCATTTTTTTTCCACATTCCATTTGTTATATAGTCTCATTCACTGGTTGACATTCATTTGAGATATATTTAGGACATTGGTTGATCAATCAAATAGTTGTTTATCTCATGAGGGCAGTATTCTGCAGTTATTTTTTTTTTCATTTTTATCCTATAAACGTGCAACATTTTAGAAAAAAAATCTGTCCAGACTATTAAATTTTCTTTAAAAAAACATAACTGTTGTATGGCCATGCATAGTGATGATGTGCCTATATGTGGCAAAGACAAACTAAACTAGTCACTCGTCAAAAACAATAGACTTTTAGTTATTAATACAGGGTTAAAAATGAAAATGAGAGCTATAAAATGGTGAAAAAATCATTTACATTCGACATTTCCTTATGAAGTTACAAGCATTTAAACATACAGCTGTTTAAAGAAAATATTTGAGATCACAGCCTTCAAAGCTTATGATTTCAGGCATTTCTCAGGCAGATAGTATCATCAAATCGTTATAATTTGTTGTTTTAACATTGAAATTTGGGAAAATAACAGCATATCATTATGTATAGATAAATAAATATTAGTTTAGTCCAATAAAATATAATTTCAAAAATGGTGATATCTCAGCATGTTTTGGGCATTATCTCTGAAACACGATTTGGGACGAGTGACTTGTTTGACTTGTCTTTGTCACATATATGGTCATAATGCGCTGTCATCGTAACCATATATAGGCATTTCACATGTTTTTGCCAAATAAAATGTGGTAGTCTCTACCGTGCTTTGGATATGAATACAGAATTTATACATCTACGAGGTGGGTTTACATTGACTAGTAGAAATAATCATCAGTGTTTTACACATTATATATATACATTATTATATTATTATTATTATTAAAGTTGCAGTGGCATATAGTATCTAGGATTATCATAATTGGGGTGGAGGTGGCTGATGAAGGTGGGAATGTGCTACGTGAGGAGTATGAGGATTAAAGTGAGTGGGCTTGCTGGGGAAATAAGGTGATATAATTTTTTTTGCTCACTAATTTTATTTATTTATTCAACTTTCTTTATTCTGAATGGAACACTCAGTGCATAGGCATTGTTTTTAAATTTGTGGTCTAGGTAAAATTTTTATAAAAAAATATAAAATTGATAAATTGAAAAAGAAAATGTACTGTATGGTAAATTTAACAAAAAGGAATTAATTACAAAATAGAAAGAACAATGAATTAAGGGAGAGCATTTTAAAAAAGTATATTGATTGAAATTACCTATTTATGTTGCTAGGAGGTTGGTTCCGGTTTATAGGTGCTCGATAATGAAAGGTCTGTTTTCCTTGACATACGTTGCATTGTAGAACTAAAGATGATTATTTGCCTGACTTCATATATCATTTTCAAGAAAAACAAACATATTATTTAAATACAAAGGTGCAAGTCCTTGAAGGCATTTAAAAGTTAAGAATAATAATTGATCTCATCGTCTGTTATTCAGAGTTTGCCAGTTCAACAGTAAAATATAATTAATTAATGTTTTAATATGACAAGAAAATAAAATTCTTACTAAGGGGAAAGAAAGAACTTGTATTGTTATAGACTAGTCAATATGGGTGTAGCAGTTGGACCATACACAAGAACAGTAATCAAATAATGGTAAAACCTGGGTGGTTCCTGGGTAAGGGTACAAGATTTTTTTTTCCTTCAAAGGGGTTAGAGGATGGTTAAGATGAAGAAGTTTATTTGAAATGTTCCCCTCTTCCCCTTTTAGATACACCACTGGTAAGTTGTCATGGCCAATGACTTATACTAATCTTTCAAATGAAGTTCTATTTTTACTACTGTTATTGCCTTTGTGAACTTAATGTAACAAGTGCAATTGATTATAGGTGCGATAAAAAATCGCTCCATGACAGTACTGAGCTCGCCGTGGGATGTTAAGGTGATCATTTTAACCAGTAAGCCATAGCTTCACTCCTTCGGTCTATTTTTAAGTACATTTTATATATAATTCCCACAAGCCCCCATCCGTCATAATCATTTTTCAGAAATGAGTGTTTGATTCTTATTAATATTTTTTTTTACTATTTGATATTTTCAGGTATATGAAATACACATTGGATAAACATGTTGAGGAGGATTATACTTTGGTCATTTTTCAACATGGACTAACATGGAGAAATAGTCCGTCATTCCGCTGGCTAGCGCAAGCGTACAATGAATTAGAAAGGAAGTACGTAGGAGGCACCATACTAATTGATCATCGTTCATGAATATATAATCAGTATTGATGTGCAGTTAGCAAGAAAAATTTTGTTTAATTAACTGTCTTATTGTAGGTGGGAGGCCTTCATGCTTGAAGTACAATGTACAGGTGCTAACATAAGACTCTAAGAAGTTGCAGTTTAAATTTGTATTTAATACTAATTTTCATTATAAGTCAGTCGTGACGTTATCACCTTCATGTGCATGTAGTTTTCCTACCCCCGATCAATCACTAATTATATAAAACAGGGTGACTGACTTATAAAGTAATTATAGTCAAGCTATTTTGGACTCTATAGGAAATAGAAGCCTTAGGAGCCATTACTACCTTAATGAATGTTTTTGGAAGTAATTGCTCCTTCGGCCTCTATTTTCTATAGTATCCTCAGAACTTGACTATAATTGCATATTATTCGTTTGTTTTTTTCAGATATAAAAAAAATCTAAAGAGGTTATACATAGTACATCCATCTTTCTTAGTTCGAATTGCAGTGGCTTTATTCAAACCTTTCATCAGTTCAAAGTTCTACCACAAGATACATTATATTCAATATATAAAAGATTTGCAGCACATCTGCTGGGTTGATACTCTACAGATACCAGAGGAAGTGCGAAGGTTTGTGTCCACCACACACGTATGTGTTAGAGCA